CCAGCCCCCCCGCTCCATCACCCGCTCCGTTACTTGCTCCGTCACCCGACGTCAATCGCCCTCTATCAGCCAGTCAAGGCTCCAACACCTCTGCTGAGGGGAGTTGTCGCTCGTTGGCATCTTCCGCTCGTTCAGATGCTCCTTCTCCTGCTACTCCTCTTCACGGATTCCGTCAGCAGTCTTTCTTGGAATCCGTTTCCAAGAGACAACAGTTTGCGAGCACGCACCCGACGGTGCAAAAGCTGAACGTCCTCCTGTCCAAGTTGCTGGTGCTGCAGTCCCTCCCTTTCCAAGTGGTGGACTCAGCACCTTTCCGAGAAATGATGGCTTGTGCCGCGCCGCGGTGGAGAGTGCCAAGCCGTCATTTCTTCGCCAAAAAGGCAGTGCCAGCCCTGCATTCACATGTAGAAGAGATGGTGGGCCAGTCTTTGAGCATGTCGGTCTCTGCCAAAGTGCACGTGCGCAGCGCCGACGTGTGGAGCTGTAACTACGGTCAGGGACAGTACATGTCATTTACGGCCCACTGGGTGAACGTGGTGCCGTCACAGCCGCACCAGCAACTTGGACAGGTCACGCCGCTTTTGCCTCCACGTTTGCACGTCCTTGGTCCACAAAAGATGTCCGCCTCTACCACCTCTTCTTCCTTCGTGTCCTCAGCCGCCACCCCCCGTGCCGCCACCCCCGTGCCAAGTCCCATTACCCGACCGGCATATCACATGTGCAGGGCGCAACGGTGTCACGCTGTGCTGCACCTGGTATGCCTTGGCGAACGTAGTCACACAGGGGAGGAACTTCTCAGTGTAATGAACAGAGAAATCGACAGATGGCTGTCTCCGCGCAAACTGAAAATCGGAACCATGTTGACCGACAACGGAAAGAACATGGTGTCTGCTCTGCGTCAAGGAAGGTTGTGCCATGCGCCATGCATGGCTCACGTGTTCAATCTGGTTGTCAAGCGGTTCCTAAAATCCACCATCCCACTGCAAGACATCCTTAAAATGTCACGTAAACTTTGCATGCATTTCAGCCATTCCTACACCGCAAAGCACACCCTCCTTGAGCTGCAGCGGCAGAACGGAATTCCACAGCATCGCCTGATCTGCGACGTTGCAACAAGGTGGAATTCAACCCTACACATGTTAGACCGCCTTTACGAACAGCGAAAGGCCATCACCGATTTCCTGATGTTACAAGCGGATAAAGGTACTCCCCTGTGTAACTTCGATGTCAGCCATTGGCAGCTCATGCGTGACACCTGCCGCTTGCTCAGGCCCTTTGAGGAGGCCACGCTATTCGTGTGAGTCGGCAGGACTATGGGATGAACGACGTCATTCCTCTGTTGCACGTCCTGGAACAAATGCTGTTAACAATGGCTGGTCAGGGTGCGGTAGACGTGGCGCACAGATCTCAACGCCACATGACCCCTGTGGGGGCAGGACAGGAAGAAGAGGAGGAGGTAGAGGAGGACATTTGTGCTCAGGAATTATTGAGTGAAATGGGTGGTTTTTCCACTCAGCGGACAGGAGTGGAGGAGCAGGAGCATCTGGTAGAGGGAGGAGGAGAGGAGACAGAGGACCCAGACGACGCACCGTGGCAGTATGCTGTGGAGATGGAGGCAGGGAGTCCCTCGCATTCCTTGGCACAAATGGCCCATAGCATGCTCGGGTTTGCTTGCGTAGCGACAGCCGAATAATAACCATCAGACAGAGGGATGACTTTTGGCTGTCCACCTTGTTGGACCCTCGCTACCGTTCAAAAATGGTGGCCTTTTTCACACCTGCTGAGAGGGAGGCCAAAATAACGTACTATAAAAACCACCACCTATGTAGTCAGTTGGTCTCTGCCTTTGTGCGCCAACGTCCATCCTCAGACACTGTGGGCCCTGTGCGCTCGCGTTCCGCTGCCATGGCAGCAGGGGAGGGGTGGGGTGGTAGGAGCAGTGGCAGCTCCACCAGCAGCGGCTGCCTCAGTCTGCAGTCGATGATGAGTAGCTTTCTTTCACCAGCGCAGTGAGGAAACTACTAACCAGCCGCAGCAGCAGCAGCAGCATCAGGTGGACCTGGAGCAGGACCTCAAACAACAGGCTTGGGCCTACTTGGACAGCACCCTGCCAACCGAGGTAGACAATCCCCTTGACTACTGGGCAACGAAACTTGACCTTTGGCCCCAACTAGCTGAATTTGCCCTTGAAAGGCTGTCATGCCCGGCCAGTAGCGTGGCATCGGAGCGCGTGTTTAGTGCGGCAGGAGGTATTGTAACTCCGCGGAGGACACGACTGTCCACCCAAAGTGTGGAGAGACTCACGTTTGTGAAAATGAAATCAGGCGTGGATTAGTCTGGATTTCAAACCACCAGTTCCTGACACAACTGACTAAATCCGCCATGAATCATGCCCCTGCCATGTGCCACTTTCAGGTCTCCTCACACTGCTGGTGTGTTCCATTTTTTTCATAGGGTGCTGGCAGATTACGGGCCTCCCATAGCTGCTGCCAGGCCCCTAATCTGCCATGGGCCCCTATACCGCCTCCTCATGCTGCTGCCAAGTCCAGAGTCTCTCATGGGTCCCTGTACGGCCTCCCATTGCTGCTGTCTCCATCGCCACACTCTGCCATGTGCCACTTTCAGTCTCCTCCACACACTGCTGGTGTGTTCCATTTTTTGACATAGGGTGCTGGCAGATTACGGGCCTCCCATAGCTGCTGCCAGGCCCCTAATCTGCCATGGGCCCCTATATAACCGCCCTCCTCATGCTGCTGCCTGTCCCCAGTGTCCCTGTACGGCCTCCCATGCTGTCTCCCCATGTGCCACTCAGGTCTCCTCACACACTGCTGGTGTGTTCCATTCGCCACACATAGGGTGCTGGCAGATTACGGGCCTCCTCATAGCTGCTGCCAGGCCCCTAATCTGCCATGGGCCCCTATACCGCCTCCTCATGCTGCTGCCAGGTCCAGAGTCTCTCATGGGTCCCTGTACGGCCTCCCATTGCTGCTCTCTCCATCGCCACACTCTGCCATGTGCCACTTTCAGGTCTCCTCACACTGCTGGTGTGTTCAATTTTTTGACATAGGGTGCTGGCAGATTACGGGCCTCCCATAGCTGCTGCCAGGCCCCTAATCTGCCATGGGCCCCTGTACCGCCTCCTCATGCTGCTGCCAGGTCTCTCATGGGTCCCACAGTGCCTCCCATTCTGTCTCCATGCCATGTGCCACTTTCAGGTCTCTCCTCACACTGCTGGTGTCAATTTTTTGACATAGGGTGCTGGCAGATTACGGGCCTCCCATAGCTGCTGCCAGGCCCCTAATCTGCCATGGGCCCCTATACCGCCTCCTCATGCTGCGCCAGTCCAGAGTCTCTCATGGGTCCCTGTACGGCCTCCCATTGCTGCTGTCTCCATCGCCACACTCTGCCATGTGCCACTTTCAGGTCTCCTCACACACTGCTGGTGTGTTCAATTTTTTGACATAGGGTGCTGGCAGATTACGGGCCTCCCATAGCTGCTGCCAGGCCCCTAATCTGCCATGGGCCCCTATACCGCCTCCTCATGCTGCTGCCAAGTCCAGAGTCTCTGTCATGGGTCCCTGTACGGCCTCCCATTGCTGCTGTCTCCATCGCCACACTCTGCCATGTGCCACTTTCAGGTCTCCTCACACACTGCTGGTGTGTTGAATTTTTTGACATAGGGTGCTGGCAGATTACGGGCCTCCCATAGCTGCTGCCAGGCCCCTAATCTGCCATGGGCCCCTATACGCCCCCGCCTCCTCATGCTGCTGCCAGGTCCAGAGTCTCTCATGGGTCCCTGTACGGCCTCCCATTGCTGCTGTCTCCATCGCCACACTCTGCCATGTGCCACTTTCAGGTCTCCTCTCACACTGCTGGTGTGTTCCAATTTTTTGACATAGGGTGCTGGCAGATTACGGGCCTCCCATAGCTGCTGCCAGGCCCCTAATCTGCCATGGGCCCCTATACCCGCCTCCTCATGCTGCTGCAAGTCCAGAGTCTCTCATGGGTCCCTGTACGGCCTCCCATTGCTGCTGTCTCCATCGCCACACTCTGCCATGTGCCACTTTCAGGTCTCCTCACACACTGCTGGTGTGTTGTTCCATTTTTTTGACATAGGGTGCTGGCAGATTACGGGCCTCCCATAGCTGCTGCCAGGCCCCTAATCTGCCATGGGCCCCTGTACCGCCTCCTCATGCTGCTGCCAGGTCCACAGTGTCTCATGGGCCATGTGCCACATTTCTGCTGTCTCTCCTCCCACACACTGCTGGTGCCACTTTCAGGTCTCCTTTTTGTCATTTTTTGACATAGGGTGCTGGCAGATTACGGGCCTCCCATAGCTGCTGCCAGCCCCTAATCTGCCATGGGCCCCTATACCGCCTCCTCATGCTGCTGCCAAGGTCCAGAGTCTCTCATGGGTCCCTGTACGGCCTCCCATTGCTGCTGTCTCCATCGCCACACTCTGCCATGTGCCACTTTCAGGTCTCCTCACACTGCTGGTGTGTTCCAATTTTTTGACATAGGGTGCTGGCAGATTACGGGCCTCCCATAGCTGCTGCCAGGCCCCTAATCTGCCATGGGCCCCTATACCGCCTCCTCATGCTGCTGCCAGGTCCAGAGTCTCTCATGGGTCCCTGTACGGCCTCCCATTGCTGCTGTCTCCATCGCCACACTCTGCCATGTGCCACTTTCAGGTCTCCTCACACACTGCTGTGTGTGTTCAATTTTTTGACATAGGGTGCTGGCAGATTACGGGCCTCCCATAGCTGCTGCCAGGCCCCTAATCTGCCATGGGCCCCTATACCGCCTCCTCATGCTGCTGCCAAGTCCAGAGTCTCTCATGGGTCCCTGTACGGCCTCCCATTGCTGCTGTCTCCATCGCCACACTCTGCCATGTGCCACTTTCAGGTCTCCTCACACACTGCTGGTGTGTTCAATTTTTTGACATAGGGTGCTGGCAGATTACGGGCCTCCCATAGCTGCTGCCAGGCCCCTAATCTGCCATGGGCCCCTGTACCGCCTCCTCATGCTGCTGCCAGGTGCCAGGTCCACAGTGTCTCATGCCATGTGCCACTTTCAGGTCTCCTCACACTGCTGGTGTGTGTTCCATTTTTTGTCATAGGGTGCTGGCAGATTACGGGCCTCCCATAGCTGCTGCCAGGCCCCTAATCTGCCATGGGCCCCTATACCGCCTCCTCATGCTGCTGCCAGTCCAGAGTCTCTCATGGGTCCCTGTACGGCCTCCCATTGCTGCTGTCTCCATCGCCACACTCTGCCATGTGCCACTTTCAGGTCTCCTCACACACTGCTGGTGTGTTCAATTTTTTGACATAGGGTGCTGGCAGATTACGGGCCTCCTCCCATAGCTGCTGCCAGGCCCCTAATCTGCCATGGGCCCCTATATACCGCCTCCTCATGCTGCTGCCAAGTCCAGAGTCTCTCATGGGTCCCTGTACGGCCTCCCATTGCTGCTGTCTCCATCGCCACACTCTGCCATGTGCCACTTTCAGGTCTCCTCACACACTGCTGGTGTGTTCAATTTTTTGACATAGGGTGCTGGCAGATTACGGGCCTCCCATAGCTGCTGCCAGGCCCCTAATCTGCCATGGGCCCCTGTACCGCCTCCTCATGCTGCTGCAGGTCCAGAGTCTCTCATGGGTCCCTGTACGGCCTCCCATTGCTGCTGTCTCCTCATGCCATGTGCCACTTTCAGGTCTCCTCACACTGCTGGTGTGTTCCAATTTTTTGACATAGGGTGCTGGCAGATTACGGGCCTCCCATAGCTGCTGCCAGGCCCCTAATCTGCCATGGGCCCCTATACCGCCTCCTCATGCTGCTGCCAGTCCAGAGTCTCTCATGGGTCCCTGTACGGCCTCCCATTGCTGCTGTCTCCATCGCCACACTCTGCCATGTGCCACTTTCAGGTCTCCTCACACACTGCTGGTGTGTTCCATTTTTTGTCATAGGGTGCTGGCAGATTACGGGCCTCCCATAGCTGCTGCCAGGCCCCTAATCTGCCATGGGCCCCTGTACCGCCTCCTCATGCTGCTGCCAGGTCCACAGTGTCTCATGCCATGTGCCACTTTCAGGTCTCGCCTCACACTGCTGGTGTGTTCACTGCAATGGTGTGTTTTTTGACATAGGGTGCTGGGCAGATTACGGGCCTCCCATAGCTGCTGCCAGGCCCCTAATCTGCCATGGGCCCCTAAATACCGCCTCCTCATGCTGCTGCCAGGTCCAGAGTCTCTCATGGGTCCCTGTACGGCCTCCCATTGCTGCTGTCTCCATCGCCACACTCTGCCATGTGCCACTTTCAGGTCTCCTCACACACTGCTGGTGTGTTCAATTTTTTGACGGGCCTCCCATAGCTGCTGCCAGGCCCCTAATCTGCCATGGGCCCCTGTATACCGCCTCCTCATGCTGCTGCCAAGTCCAGAGTCCTGTCATGGGTCCCTGTACGGCCTCCCATTGCTGCTGTCTCCATCGCCACACTCTGCCATGTGCCACTTTCAGGTCTCCTCACACACTGCTGGTGTGTTCAATTTTTTTGACATAGGGTGCTGGCAGATTACGGGCCTCCCATAGCTGCTGCCAGGCCCCTAATCTGCCATGGGCCCCTTTACCGCCTCCTCATGCTGCTGCCATGGGTCCCCTGTTTCCAGCTGCTGTCTCATGCCATGTGCCACTTTCAGGTCTCCTCACACTGCTGGTGTGTTCATTTTTTTTGTCATAGGGTGCTGGCAGATTACGGGCCTCCCATAGCTGCTGCCAGGCCCCTAATCTGCCATGGGCCCCCATACCGACTCCTCATGCTGCTGCAGGCCAGGCCCGCAATCTGTCATGGGCCCCTGTACCGCCTCCTCATGCTGCTGTCCAGGTCCAGAGTGTGTCATGGGTCCCTGTACGGCCTCCCATTGCTGCTGTCTCCATCGCCACAGTCTGCCATGTGCCACTTTCAGGTCTCCTCACACTGCTGGTGGTTTCCATTTTGTCATAGGGTGCTGTATGGGCCTCCCATTGCTGCTGCCTCCACCGCCACACTGTGGCTCACACTCTGGTTTTGGCCCCGTGACTGCCCAAATGAGTGAAGTGTGCGGTGATTCTAAGATCGACGGCACTCATCTGCATGTCATACTGACTGTCAGTATTATTTCTCTTCCCCAGCAGACTCCAAGGGCATTTAAATTCAAGGTACAGTGTTCTGCACTAATATAAAGGCTCTCTGAAGCCTAGAAACACCCTTTTATAAGTTAAATTCGCAGCGAATATATTCGACTCGAATCAAAATTTTTCCACGAATTCGCCAAATCAGTCGAAATCGAATTTTTGAATACTTCGCTCATCTCTATAGACCATCCTAAAACTCTCAATACGTCCCGTGTCAATCTGCTACTATTTTCGTCCAATGCCCTAAACTCTCGTGGGATCCATATGAGCCTCTGCAACTGTGTTTTACTTAATATACCTTCAATTTTAACCCACCTTTTTTTCTTGTGAATTATGTGTCCAATCCACCACCCGTGATAATAACACTGATTATACTTCCTCATATTTGGCAAGTTTAGTCCTCCATTCTCTTTATGATAACATAAGGTTTCATACCTAATTCTTGGTTTCTTATTAACCCAAATAAACATTGATATCAATTTTTTTATTCTCCTAAAAAAGGAGCCAAGTAAATTTATAGGGAGCATCTGAAAATTATATAGGATTTTTGTGACTATTACCATCTTAGCCAAGTTTATCCGCCCTATCCATGAAGCCCACCCTCCTGAGAGTTTCCTCAATTCCTCTTTAATTTTGTTTACTAGTGGGATATAATTAGCCTGGTATAGATCCTTTGTTGCAGGGGTAAATTTTATTCCCAAATACTTTAAATCTCTTTCTCTCCATGCAAATGGGAACTGTTTTTGTAAGATCTTCCTTTCCACCTTTGACACATTAATATTCAAAATCTCGGATTTTGTAGGGCTTTTTTTAAATTAGATAACTCTCCATACTGTTTCAACAGTGCCATTAAGTTAGGCAACGCCACTCCAGGATTCACTATATAAAACAGCATGTCATCTGCGTATGTTGCTTATGTTCTCTTTCTCCTATCTTAATTCCTGTGATATCTATATTTTTTCTTACCACCTACGAAAGAGGTTCCAAAGATAACACAAACAATAACGGGAATAGAGGGCATCCCTGTCTAGTTCCATTATACATTCGAAAAGTCCCCGACAGGGTCCCATTAACCTTCACCGCTGCTGAAGGGCCATTTTGAAGCCCTTTTATCCATTTCATAATTTTTTTTCCCCTACTCCCAGAACCTCCAGCGTATTAAACATAAACCCTGTCAAAGGCCTTTTCTGCATCTGTCGACAAAATTATTGTTGACTGCCTTCTTCTCTTTGCTTTCTGTAGGAAGAGTAATGTCCTCAAACCGTTATCTCTTCTTTCCCTTCCTGGAACAAACCCTACCTGATCTAAATGTACCCATTCCGGCATCACCTCTTTCAACCTATTAGCCAGTACTTTCGCAAACAATTTGGTATCTGTATTTAGTAAAGAGAAAGGTCTATAACTATTACATTGTGAGCTATCTTTGCCTTCCTTAAGAATAATTGTTATATGTGCGTGCAATGATTCTCCTCTAATTACTGCTCCTTCTCCCAAAGCATTCATATATCTACATAACTTAGGAATCAATGTCTCTTTAACCATTAGCCGCCCGGCCAATGGCCGTTTGGCAGCTTCAAATGTGCTCCTGTATTCCGGGTGCACGCCATTTGGCGTGCTCCCGCACATGCGCGGTTTGCGCGGTTGCAGAGCGACGCAGCAGTGCGATCTGTCACCGCCCGTGCACCTCGGGCACGGCCGATGACAGATCCGAGTACCGGCTCCCGTTGCCGGTACCATGTGACCTGCTGTGACCAATCACAGCAGGTCACATGACAGTTGTATACAATGGATGGCTTCATTCATGATGCCATCCATTGTATACTAGTGCCTAGCTGTGAATGGTCACAGCTAATCACATGCACATGTCATGTGATTAGCTGTGACCAAATCACAGCTAAGCACAAAAAAAAAAAAAGCTGAATGAATCGATTTCATTCAGGTAAATGCTTGCTTATAGCAAAGTAATTCTTTGCTATAAGCAAATTGTGTAAAAAAAAAAAAAAAAAATTACTGATCACTTCCCCAAAGTAGTACAATGTTTACTAAAAGTTACAATGTTTTTAATAGTAAAATATGAAAAAAAAATCTTAAAAAAAATAAACAAAATGTAATAAAAAATTAAATATAAAAAAAATAGAAATATATATATATATATATATATTTTTTTTTTTAATACTGTCACCAGTCAGTGTCGCTGTTCACCGCCATGCCAGTTATATGATGATGCTGTACTGCACTGGTGACAGTATGTAAAAAAAAAAAAATAGTGAAAATAATTTTTTTAATTTTTTTCATTTTTCCGAAAAATTATGACAAAAAAATACAACTTCAAAAAACTCGCCATGCCTCTTATGAAGTACGTCGGACTGTCTACTCTGCAAAAAGGGGTCATTTGGGGGATATCTGTACTGTTCTGACATTCTTGGACCTCAAGATATTAGATTGGCTGTCAGTACTTCAGGATTGATCAATATTCAGATCTATACCATAGTTTGTGAACTCTATAACTTTCCTACAAACTAAAAAATACATTCTAATTTGGGTTATTTTCACCAAAGACATGTAGCAGAATACATCCCGGCCTAAATTTATGAAGAACAATTATTTATTTGTAAACTTTTATAACAGAAACAAAGAAAAATGTGTTTTTTTTTTCAAAATTTTTGGTCTTTTTTTGTTAATTTAGCAAAAAATAAAAACCCCAGCAGTGATTAAATACCAGCAAAAGAAAGCTCTAGTTGTGTGAAGAAAATGATAAAATTTTAGTTTGGGTACAATGTTGTATGACCGCGCAATTGTCATTCAAAGTGTGAGAGCGCTGAAACCTGAAAAATGGCCTGGGCAGGAAGGTGTAAAATTGCACAGTATTGAAACGGTTTAAACTTTTTATAATATCCCACTGTATATCCATCTGGCCTGGGCTTTTCCCCCCCGCCGTGTTCATCATAGCCATCCTGATTTCATCCTGGGATATAACTCGTTCTAAGGATAATGCGTTCTCTTTTGCGATCTTTGGTAAATCTGCTTCACTCAAAAAGTCTTGCCTTTTCTTCCTCCTCTCTTCTGTAATTTTTAAGTTTATGGGGTTCACCTCATACTACTTTCTACAAAACCTTTGAAACACATCTTCGATTCCAGTGGTGGAATATACCAGCTCTTCGTTTTCATCTTTAATTTTTTCTTCTATATAATTTTTTAGATTTCTTTTCCTTCAATCTCTTCATCATAAATTTTCCTGGCCTATTCCCCCACTGGTATCTTTCTTTTGAGACTCTATTGAAAACTTTCCTAGTTTCCTGTTTCATTAAATCTTTCAGTTCTTCTCTTTTAAGAATGATCTTCCCATATAAATAGGAGTCCTGCTTTATTTTATGTGCTATTTCTAATTTATGTAATTATGTAATTCTTCAGTTACCCCCTTCAACTTCCTCTCACGCTCTCTCTTTTTTTTTGTTCCTGCTGCTATCAATATTCCTCTCATATAGACCTTATAAGCCTCCCATATAGTCGCCTCCGATAATTCCTTTGTTTCGTTCATAAGAAAAAATTGCTCTGACTCTTCCCTAAACCTCTTTTCTATATCAGGGTCCTGTAAAAGTGTCTCATTTAATTTCCACGTGGCCCTCTTATTTCCCTCTCCTCCCAATTGTAGTCCAACCGTGACAGGAGCATGATCAGATATAGATATAAACCCAATGTTAGATTTCACTAAACATTCTAAATGCCTGTGCTCTATTAATACATAATCCAATCTTGAATATGATCTGTGCGCAGAAGAAAAAAAAAGGTATAATCTTTTTCTTTAAGATGTTTTACTCTCCAAGTATCTATTAATTGATTTTTATATAATTCTTTTTTCAACTTTCTTAATTTTTTTCCCTCCTTCCCTCTGTGCACCCAAAGACATATCCATCATGGACAATTCCCTTTCCCCACCTCACCCCACCCACCTCCCCAATCCCACATCCCTTCCCTCCCTCCCTGTCCCATCCCTCCCTTCTTGGCCTATGTATTGCCCTAGAATCTAGCTTGGGTCCCCCCCACTAATGATTCTCTTTTTTGGGGGGGTATGACTCTGAGTATGTACACCATTTTGGGTCCCCTATTCCCACCATAGGGAATTTCTTTACTTTTCAGCTATCTCGAGGCCCATGGGAGCTCCAGATGCCCTCTACTGCTACAATTCTTACTCTTACTTCTTCCTTCTATTAACTTGCTGCCAATTCTCACTTCTAATTAACCTCTCATTATTCCCTTCTGACCACCCTACTATATCCACGTGCTGCAGTTCTAATTTTTCACAGAAGTCTCTTAAGTCCTCCAAAAATCTCAATCTTGCCATTTTCCCATTTCTCCACCCGATCAAACAGACCGGGAACCCCCAATCGTACCGAACTTCCCCGTCCCCCATCCGCTCCAGCAATGGCCCCTGCACTCCTCTCCTCCAGACAAAGTCTCAGGAGCTATGTCCGCGAAAATCCGCAAGTTAGTTTCTCCAAATTTGATTTCATCCATTTCACGTAATTTTTTCCATATTCTCTCTTTCTTCAAAATTATGAAAACGCACAATCACATCTCTTGGGGTCTCTAACAATTTTCCCGGCGGGCGTCTAATTCTATGTACTCTCTCCATTTTTAGAGGGCCAGTACCTGCTCTTCCTAATAGGGGGTTAAGTACACTTTTTATTTTTCCCGACAAGTCCTCTTCCCCTATTTTCTCTGGTAATCCCCAGATCCTCAGATTATTTCTCCTTTCTCTATTCTCTTGATCTTCCAGTTTACATGATAACTTCCTCTGTTCTTTTTCCATCTCTTCTACTCTCTTTTCCAAATTTATAATTTCCTGCCCTTGGGTCTCTGTTTTTCCCTCTATTTCTTCAACTCTAGATAGATAACATTTTCTCCAAGTCTGCATTTAATCTGTTAGTTAACGTGCTGAAGTCAGGTAGTTTTTTACATGGTTCTAATTTTTCTTTAATTTCTCCTATTTGCTGTTCTAATTTCCTCATTTTAGGTTGTTTCCTCTTAATCAACAACTTCAACAATTC